TTTTTTTTTTTTTTTTTAATTTTTTTTTCAACGTTTATTTATTTTTGGGACAGAGAGAGACAGAGCATAATGTGCATTTTAAAGGGAGCCGTAGGGGCGCCTGGGTGGCTCAGTCGGTTGAGTGACCGGCTTTGGCTCAGGTCATGATCTCGTGGTCTGTGAGTTCGAGCCCCGCGTCGGGCTCTGTGCTGACGGCTCAGAGCCTGGAGCCTGTTTCAGATTCTGTGTCTCCCTCTGTCTGACCCTCCCCCATTCATGCTCTGTCTCTCTCTGTCTCAAAAATAAATAAACGTTAAAAAAAAATTTTTTTTAAAGGGAGCTGTGGCTCATGTGTTATGGAGACCAAGTATATATCTTAACCTGAAATGAATTTGGAGTTTTGTTCGCTGAAATCTTTACTAACAAGGTTCAAGGATTTGGAACTCTGAACACAAATTCAAGTAATAGCAATCTTCGTATGTGATTTAAAGGAACTAGAGCTAGAGTTCTTGGCCTTAAAACAAACATACGAATATTGATAACTCTTACCATCCTGTTTTGGCAGAGGTGAAATAAGGTGGTCTCCAAAGTACGTCTTCCTATTTTCCCATCTTTTCCAGTTTTTTTTGTTTTTGTTTTTGTTTTTTTAAGTCAGCTACTCTTCTTCTCTGTAACTGTGGGCGCTTCACGGATCTAGACCCTGTTCACTTCTTTCATGACACTCTTATCTATCTGAACCTTCCTTCCTAACAGTAAAAGGTTTTGTTTTAAGAAAGGTAGGTATTCAGAACTATCACCCCAGCTTTGTGCACACATAAAATGCCCCTTGCTTTGAAGAGAATGGTCAGAATGTGGGCTTGTTAAAGTTATATATGAGTCCTGGAGTTTTGATCACCTAAGCTTGTCTAAAAATTCTTGTTCCTCCCCCACCCCCAGCACAAACATCACCCAAGTAGGCCCTGCACTGGTGTCAGTTAGAGATCTTTTTATTTGTAGTCGTGGGGAGTAAGGGGCCCTTCTGAAACTGATGTTTGAGTCTCTTAGTACTTTGTACCGTGGTAGCCTCTGTAGCTGGTTTTCTTTTGAAAATAAAATTCTCAGGTTATGGAATTATAAATCTTATTTGTTACTTGACAGATTATTACTTATTTATTTTTAATGTTTATTTACTTATTTTTGAGAGAGGAAAAGGGTGCACACACAGGGGAGGGGTAGAGAGAGAGGGAGACACAGAATGCGAAACAGGCTTCAAGCTCTGAGCTGTCAGCACAGAGCCTGACACAGGGCTCGAACTCATGGACCACGAGATCATGACCTGAGCCAAACCTTAATGGACTAAGCCACCTAGGTGCCCCATTGATAGATTATTTTTTAATAGACAACTTTCTGTATTGCTTTTCAATAATACTACCTATAGGCAATAAGAATTTTTGAAATCATGAATATTTTCTCTTGTTTTGAATAGACTTGATTATTGATCATGTTTTTAGTAGTGTTTAAATTTTGATTACAACGTATTTATATTTATCACCAGTCTTTTTTATTGGAGTATAGGCAATTTGGCATTGTTCATACTTTATTTTTTGTTTTATTTTATTATTTTTTAAAAAATTTTTAAATGTTTGTTTTTGAGAGAAAGAGAGAGCAGGAGCAGACAGGGGAGGGGCAGAGAGAGACACACACACAGGATCTGAAGAAGGCTCCAGCGCAGAGCCTGACACAGGGCTTGAACCCGTGAACCGTGAGATCATGACCCGAGCCGAAGTCAGACACTTACCCAACTGAGCCACCCAGGCGCCCCCTGTTATTCATGCTCTAAAATCACCTTCTGGATATATGTGAAGGTAGAATTCATACCTAATGTGACTCAGGCCAGCGGGATGATTTTTCTGTATGTGTGTGTAAAGGTGAAGTTAATGCCTGACATGTTTTTCTTTCTTTTCAAAACCACAGACCCAGACGTAGCCTTCGTACCTCTAGGAATGACAGATTATTTAGTTATCGTGGAGGACGATGACTCTGCCATCATACCTTGTCGCACAACTGATCCCAAGACTCCGGTTACCTTACGCAGCAGTGACGGGGTGGTACACGCCTCCTATGACAGCAGACAGGGCTTTAATGGGACCTTCAGCGTCGGGCCCTATATCTGCGAAGCCACAGTCAGCGGGAAGAAGTTCCAGACCATCCCATTTAATGTTTATGCTTTAAAAGGTACTTGTACCTTCTCTCTCCTCCTTTAAAGAAGAGTTAAAGGCAAAATAATTAGATGTATATATGATTAAAAAAAAATCACAGTCCCTGGTGATGGAGACCCTGAATATTTGGGGATTTAGGACCCAAATATTTAGGACCCCACATTTGCCGTACAACGTTAGGCTGCCCTCTGTGGCTATAATCCTACTAAGTGTGGCATTACTAAAAACAAGTGCTTCTTTGCTACTGTAAGATTTCATATTTCATCAGTTGACTTCAAAATACTGTAAGGAATTCTTTTCTTGCATAAGCCTCTTACTGTTTTACCCACATTCCTGACCACAGAGGACCTAAAAACAAACACATACCTGTGGGGGGTGGATGCCTAGATTAACTTTAGTAACTTAAGAAAAGTGATTTTGATTTTGAGAAAAGCTTGTGATTACAGTCACCCCTTTGATGTGGGTGGTTAATGTGAATGGAGGGTATAATACACGTTTGGGGCAGCAGATTTATTGAACACTCACGTGCAAGAGGGCAGCAGCAGAGGGCCATTGGACTCTCGGTAAGGGCTTATTTTATGCCAGCACTGTGGTAGGTTCTAGAAAAGGGCTGAGAATAGCCGGGTAGGAGGGTGGGAGAGAGGAGAGAAAGGGTAGGGTAGGAGTGCCCCGAGCAGTGCTGGTCAGTAAAGATTGGTTGAGTAAATGAATAAATACATCCAAAAAGGTGATTGCAGAAGAGGAAAGCCATCACTGACCCCAATGCTAAGGAAGGTGATGTTCTGTTAAATTGGAATTTACTTTTACTATCGTTACCGTTTTGTATGTAGGTATTTGTGTGTACGTGTGTATGTGTAGGTGTGTTATTTTATAACAACATGCCAAATTATGTATGCCAACATAAAATCAAGGCTCCTGAGACTTCAAAAATTTCTTCTTGATCACAGTGGTTTGAAAATGATTTTTCATTTCTTTTTAAAAAAGAAAACAAACCCCAACCTTAGAAGATCCTAACTATACTGTGGATATTGAGGTCCTTGTGTTTATTCTTTTTTTAAATAGCAACATCAGAACTTGATCTAGAAATGGAAGCTCTCAAAACTGTCTATAAGTCAGGGGAGACGATTGTGGTCACCTGTGCCGTCTTTAACAACGAGGTGGTTGACCTTCAGTGGACTTACCCTGGAGAAGTGGTAGGTAGCTTCTGGGCTCCTGGTGGAACGGGGTGGGGCACAGCAGGACTCAAAAGACCCGTCACTGACAGGGCAGGACATGAGCTTGTCCAGACCTCAGCTTGCCGCCTCTGTAGTGAGCCCATTTGTCTAGATGACTTTCTGGCTTTTTGGGCAATGGAAGAGGCTGAGACAAAAGCTGGACCAGACCCTTCAGAATGCACAAAGGTTGCACCCTCAGCCTTCTTATTCATAAGTTAGAAAGAAATAGGAAAGCTCTATGGCTACAACTTAGCAACCAAAAAATTAGAAAAGCAAAAGGGGGTGGCTTTTACAATTTATGAACTGCTGAGAGAGTCATTAATTCCCATTTTCTTGGCTTCCATCCTTTTGGGTTTTGAGGCATTTGATAATGTCGATGGCCTGCCCCCTTTCATTTCTGCTTCTTTGCCACCCAGGACGCTGTTCTCGCTCCTTTTGGCCTGGTCTTTCTTTGCATGGCCTGCCTTCAGTGAGCAGGCTTAACTTGAATCATTAGGCAACGATTGAGGAATGTTTGCTAAATCCCAAACACTCTGCTAGAAGCTGGCCCGTGCACCAGAGGGGGGAGGAGTGCGGACAGAATTGGGGAAAGGGGAACCACATGCCAGCTGTAGGTCCCTGGGGATTTACACACGGGGTCTCGTTCATTCTGACGCATTGTGATAAGTGTACAAGAGAACCGTGTGTAAATGGCTGTGACTGTCCGATGGAGTGATGATCAACAGGGCTTAATGCAGCAGCCTCATGGAGAGCAAAAACCATGTATATATTTGTATGTGATTATATGGGTATATATGGTTATGTATATGTGTATATATATGTATATAATATATATATTTTTCCCCTTCAGTCCTGATTTGCAAATTTCTGCTCCCTGCTCTTTTTGGCAATTGAGAGCTTCTCTCCTTTTATCCATTTTTCTCCCCTGTGCTCTTACTGCCCCCTCCTTCCTTTCTCTCTGGGGCATCTGACTGGAAGTTGGGCATTTTCACATATGACCATTATCACAGATCACATTTTCACCTGCTACCTTCACATAGACCTCGTGCACTGAAGAGACATTCATAGTCCAATATGTGTACCTCTTCTCTGAAACATGAGGCGTTTTTATTTTACCCTTCACACTTGATTGCCCTTAATCCTTAAAGCATAAGCATTTCTTTTTATTTATTGGAGATAGACATTTCCCCCCACTCCCACCCCCAAACCACACTACCTGCTATTTGGACCAAAAAAATACATAAGCAAAGTATTGCTTTGTAACACAAAGTTTTCATCAGATCATAAATCATGCAGGTTTATTATTATAATATTAGAAAATTCAGAGAGACAGGGGAAAAGCACTTCCCAGAACATCACCGTTAATATTTTAAATTTTCTTTTTTTTTCAACGTTTATTTATTTTTGGGACAGAGAGAGACAGAGCATGAACGGGGGAGGGGCAGAGAGAGAAGGAGACACAGAATCGGAAACAGGCTCCAGGCTCTGAGCCATCAGCCCAGAGCCTGATGCGGGGCTCGAACTCCCGGACCGCGAGATCGTGACCTGGCTGAAGTCGGACGCTTAACCGACTGCGCCACCCAGGCGCCCCATCACCGTTAATATTTTAGGGAGATAAATCCTTTCAGTACTTTGTATACAAAATACATGTGACCATTAATGGGTATTATGCTTTAAATAGTACTTTGTTAGATCCTTTTTCCTTTGGCGGTATACCACAAACACCTTACTGTGCCATTGAATGTCCTCTTAAAACATGATTTTCTAAGGAGTTAGCTTAAAAAAAAATCTTTTTTGTCAGACTTTATTGTTTAGAGCAGTTTTAGGTTGACAGTAAAATTCAGTGGACGGTACAGAGATTTCCCATGTAGCCCCTGCCCCACGCATGCACAGCTTCCCCCCTTATCAGCATCCCTACAGGGTAGTACATTACCATCTGGGAGTCTATACCGGTGCCCCATCACCACCCAGAGTCCAGACTTTCCATGAGGCCTCACTCTCAGGAGCTAGCTTTTTAAAGTTGGTTTTCCTCCCCTTCTGCTGTATTGTAGAAAGGCAAAGGCATCACGATGCTGGAGGAGATCAAGGTCCCGTCCATCAAACTGGTTTACACTCTGACGGTCCCCGAGGCCACAGTGAAGGATAGTGGAGATTATGAATGTGCTGCCCGCCAGGCCACCAAGGAGGTCAAAGAGATGAAGAAAGTCACCATTTCCGTCCATGGTACATTCTGCTTTCTAAAATGTCAGTCGTCCGGGCTGCTCAGGATCGATCATATGGTAATCGTTACTTAATGGAAACTCTTCCCTGTACAGAGAAAGGGTTCATTGAAATCAAACCCAACTTCAGCCCGTTGGAGGCTGTTGACCTGCATGAAGTCAAACATTTCGTGGTGGACGTGCAGGCCTACCCCCCTCCCAGGATATCCTGGCTGAAGGACAACCTGACTCTGATTGAAAATCTCACGGAGATCACCACCGACATAGAAAAGATTCAGGAAATAAGGTAAAGAAACATCCTTCCCACGCATGCCTGTCCTTTTTATGGTGTGTCTGTAGACAGAGCGAGGTTCACACGTGTTTCGCAGCACAAACCGAGAATCAGTCTAGGAGATGTAACAAACCAGCACGGGAGACCCTTGAAATCAGGTACCTTTGGTGGTCACGTTGCCATGTGGTAATACTATGCTGGTGAATACTTAAGAATAAAATAAGAAGAAAGAACTGAAAAGCTCTGTTCCCAATGAAAGACCGTTTCCTGCCTCCGGGAAGGGATGGAGGGAGGAACATAAAATTGGACCCACTTGGATTGAATACATTCCATGACATCCCCCATCTGTGTGGCAACTAGACATGTTGGTGATTCCAGTGACGAGGCCATTATCACATAAACCTACATGAAACAAAACATCACTGGTTTAATTTGAAACACATCTGCCCTAGCGAGGCCTCCACAGGAAATAAGGGTAGAGTCTGGCCAGATTTGGTTTGGAGAAAATGTACGACTATAGTTTGGATCCCTGCCCTCTGATAAAATAGTATATCGCTCTCATCTCTTAACTAGGGGTGGAGTTAAGTCACCTCAGCCTCAGTTTCCTCCTCTGTAATGTAGGGTTAATAATACCTTATTTTTAAATTTTTATTATTTTATTATTATTTTTTATTTTTTTTATTAATTTGTTTTACTTTTTATTTTTTTAAATTTACATCCAAATTGGTTAGCAGATAGTGCAACAATGATTTCAGGAGTAGATTCCTTAGTGGCCCTTAACCCATTTAGCCCATCCCCCCTCCCACAACCCCTCCAGCAACCCTCTGTTTGTTCTCCATATTTATGAGTCTCTTCTGCTTTGTCCCCCTCCCTGTTTTTATATGATTTTTGTTTCCCTTC